GTTGCTAACAAGCTGGTGATATCAGAGGGGTAGCATCGAGATAAGCATAAGCAAGGCGTCCTCATGCTGGAAGGAGGGGATTAACAAGGTGACTTATGGTCCTGGGTACCCTAATAACCTTCATAATGATGTAGTTGCCAGGATTTACTCACAGTTTACTGGTTAACTAAGTATCAGACCCCAAGCACTTGTAAATTAGATTCTAAGAGATTCACAAATCTCTTAGATGGTTGGGGAACAGACAAATAAAAGTTTGCAGTTTGTTATTTTCCATTTGTTTATTTCAGGTAAAGGAAAGAGAACTAAAAGTATAAAATGGATCAGACTGATCCAATAAAAGGGCCTGAGGCCAAAGGCTTAGAAAATCAGCCTAAGGCAGCCCTCAGTGAAACAGCCATGAAGTTACAGTTGGCCAGGTTAGAGGTGGCAAAGGAACGAGAATTCCAGATGTAAACAGCCAAAGAGAAACAGGCAGCACAAGAGGAAGCCCACCAGAGAACCCTGGAGGCAGAAAAGCAAAAGTGGGAGTCAGAGGAAGCAGCACACCAAAGAGCCCTGGAAGCCGAGAAGCAGAAACAGGTAGCAGAAATAGCTACACATTAGTGAGCTACAGAACTAGAGGAGTGGAAGTGGGAGGAGAAATCATGAAAACAGGATGCTGGAGGCATGGATACAAAACCCTCAGGCAGCAAGCACTCCTCTCCAAGGATCAAATAATTGGGACAAATTCTGCCCTAGTTACAAGGAAACTGTTTGCACTGAGGAATATTTGACCATCTTTGAAAGGACCACTAGGCTATCGAACATCCCTGAGGGCCAGAGAATAACTGTCCTGCTCTCTAAGTTAACAGGGAAAGCATTACAGGTGTTTAATTATGTACATGTAATTAAAGCTATGACAGGAAACAAAGGATAGGAATAAATGGTCAGGTTTCACAATGGAGAGAGGTAAATAACAGGGTACCCCAGGGATCTGTACTAGGACCAGTGCTATTCTACATATTCACATGTTCTGGAAAAAGGGGTAAACAGCGAGGTGCAAAGTTTGCAGATGACACAAGACTACTCAAGATAGTTAAGTCCAAAGCAGACTGCAAAGAGTTACAAAGGGGTCTCATAAAACTGGGTGACTGGACAACAAAACGGCAGATGAAATTCAATGTTGATAAATGCAAAATAATGCACATTGGAAAACATCATCCCAACTATACAAACAAAATGATGGGTTCTAAATTAGCTGTTACCACTCAAGAAAGAGGTCTTGGAATCATGGATAGTTCTCTGAAAACATCTGCTCAATGTGTTAGCTTTTTTTGGCTGCTATTGCAATGTTAGGAACCATTAGGAAAGGGATAGGTAATAAGATAGTAAACATTATAATGCCACTATATAAATCCATGGTATGGTTATACCTTGAATATTGCATGCAGTTCTGGTCGCTCCATCTCAAAAAAGATACATGAGAAATGGAAAAAGAAAAGTACAGAGAAGGGCAACAAAAACAACTGCCATGCATTTTGTAAACACCAGGGGGGTGGAGGGGGAGGAGAAGGAGCTGCTGACAGGCCAAATGGGAGAACTGTGAGCTGGTGGTAGGATTCATTGACCATGAATCTGAGGAAATTTCTTTGCTGTGATGAATTGCCCCATGAAAGTAAGTGTCCCTTAAGGGTTGGAAGAGACCTCAGGAGGTCATCTAGTCCAACCCTCTGCTCAAAGCAGGACCAATCCCTAAACAGATTTTTGCCCCAGATGTCTAAATGGCCCCCTCAAGGATTGAACTCACAACCCTGGGTTTAGCAGGCCAATGCTCAAACCACTGAGCTATCCCTCCCCCAAGTCAAGAGCAACGAACCAGTCCCCAGTCTCTAAGGAGGGGATTTCAGAAGTAAGAGTAACCATGACAAATTTTGTTTTCTTCAGAAACTTGTTTAGTTGCTTTAGATCAGTGGTTCTCAAACTTATTTGATCGGGCCCCCCTTCTTTGTGTCTGTAGTCGTTAACATCTCTCCCTTCCCCCAAGTACATATACCGCGCCATTCAGTTCTGAAGGCAGCACTGGCCAGCAGCAGTACAGAAGGGTGGCAATGTGAAAATGATATTCGTCAATATCACTTTTCACAGCTGACTTAGACAGCAGACTTAGAAGTAAAGGGGAGAATGTGAAAAGTGATATTTGTCATCACTTTTCATAGCAGACTTAGTGCCCCATTGCCATCCTTACTTCTGCGCTGCTGCTGCCACCCTGCTGCTGATGATGTCAGGGGAAGAAAGAGAGAGAGAAAAAAAAAAAAAAAAGACAGCACACAGGTCACGCCTACCGTGACACATTCCTGTGCCTCCCCTGGGAGTCCACCCCATAGTTTGAGAACAGCTATTTTAGATCTACAATAAGCCTGAGACCCTCTTTTGCCATCAGGATTTGGAAGTATCAGGAATACAATCCTCTTCCTTGGAAAGGCAGGGGAACTTCCTCTATGACCCCCACAAGGAGGAGAGACTGAATATCACACTCTTGTGGGTGTGATTCTGAAGAGGAACAGGGAAGGGGAGTGTGAAGTGGGGACAGAAGTAAAGGTTATATCCCTGTATCACTGTGCTTAGGACCCACTGGTGACATGGGACCAAACACTTAGGAAGTGGGCAAAAATAGGTTAAAATCATACTGACTCAGCAGAACCTGCTGGTTCGTGATTCTCAGTTGTAACTCTCCTGTGAAATAAATCTTCCAACCAAAGAGGTCCAGCTTTCTTGCTTCTTTCCCTGTTTGCAGTAGACACTATCAGGAAACCAGGTGGTTTGTAAAAATATTAATATCCCTAAGAAAGGACATATCTCCTTTCCGCCCTTTTAACAGTGAGAGGAAGGGAGGATGGGGTATGCCATAAGATCTTGATGGCCCCTAGGATAGCTTCATTTATAGGGAGAACTACCCTAGAGAGCCCCACAAAGGTCAAAATGTCCACCAATCTGTGCAACTTTTTTTGCACCTCCTCTGGTTGGATAAGCAGAGCCACAACCACCCTTTTTATTAAGTCCCGGTCGGCCCTGAAATCATCTGAAGGGGGCGAGGTAGGCTCCGTAAGTACTGCCTCATCTGGTGATGAAGAGAAAGAGACCAATGGGTGTTGAGGGAGATCCTTATCTAACAAGAATTGGACAGGAAAGTCCTAAGTAAGCAATTCCCCTTGCATGGTACAGGTCCCAGCAAAGGGGAAATGGGGACCATGTTGTAGACGCTTCTGGTGCCTACTCAATATGGGAGGGCAGGAAGGGAGTAGGGACGCTGTAGAGCATGTGGGGAAGCCTCATGGACTCCAGAAAAGCCAATTAGCATGGCGGTGGTACCCCGATATGCACTGGCTGTTGGTCCTTGGGCTGAGATCTGGAGCAAGGTGGGTAGATACTCCACTGGGGCTGCTCTGGTCTTGAGGCATGTTGCTGAGGGTCACAGACCTGCATAGCACTTGCATGACAATGTCCCCTATGTGGATTTTCCAACTCCAAAATGATTTTCCACTGGCCAGTAGCAATCTAATGTTGCAAGCTGCCCCCCATTAGCTTCTTCACTGTCAATGCAGCTCTCATTCCTGTGTCCCTATGGTAGAGGGCTGGGGCAAGATTGACATATGGATCTGGGAATTTGGCCTTTCACATCCAAAAGCTCTGCAGCTACTGCTAGTCATTGCAAACCTGCATTATGATGCGATCCTACTAATCAGTACTTGTTTCTTGGGCCCAGAAGCAGCATTTCACCATGTGCAGCTGCTCCATGAATAGCAACCATCAACTTGAATTGTTTTTTGCTACGTCCCTTAAACTGTCCTCAAACAAATCGTCATATCCCCCCATTGTTTTGGTACTTCCTGCGGGTCTTCAAATACAGAAATGTGCGTCTTGTATTTGAAACGTTCATAAGAATACTGCAGAGCTATGTGTCAGGGGGTGGACACTGAAAAGTGTCACGTGGGTTTGTGGATTTTAATAAAGAAAGCATGAAAATTATGGGCCATGGATGGCATTATGGGTTAGGTCGGCATAACTATGTCGGTCATGGGTGTGGGTTTTTTCCACACCCCCAACTGACGCTTATTTATGTTGATCTAACTTTTAAGTGTACATCAAACCCCATCACATAAAAGTCATCTGTCTGAATCTGTATGATTTTAGTAATCACCAAAAATTGTTACTATTTGATGGCTGTGTGTTGGTCTCAGTGCAGTACCCAGTGGACAGGTGTTGACCCCACAGAAGTTTCCATAATTCAACATCTGAGCAGAGAGCCCAAGAATCTCCACGGCATGGAGATGACATAACTTCCATTCCTATAGGTGGTCCTACTAGGCTAGGGTTAAGATACACGATTGGGCCAGTATGGGAAAATTTATAGAGCCTGGTTCTGTAGCTAAACGAAGCCTTCAGTCTGCAACGCTTTCAATTTGACACCTTTTAAAATAAATTTAGTGCTTGTGAAAATAAACTGATGAAACATAACTGGGACCTTAATTCTTATGAATAACTGCTTGTGTCTGTGAAGTTAATCTTGTTCCTAAGTGATTGCAGGATCAGGGCCTTAAAGTAAGTAAACTTTACTGACATTAATTTTTTTTTAAATATAAATCCTGTAGTGAAATTATTAAATCTAACAAATAAAATAAGTCCATCTAATTCAATTATATGCATCCGAAGAAGTGGGCTGTAGTCCACGAAAGCTTATGCTCTAATAAATTTGTTAGTCTCTAAGGTGCCACAAGTCCTCCTGTTCTTCTTTATACAACTTCGTTACCCATGGCAAAATATGGCAATCATGATCATCTCCATAATTGAGTATCTGAATTTTTATTATAGAAAAATAATGCACTTTCAATAATACACCTAAATCAGAGAATCTCTGATTAGATTAATTAATTAGTTAATTCAAGGGACACTCTTAAAGGATCAGAGTTTAAAATGTCTACAGTGCACTAATCTTCTGAATATATGTACTGTAGTATACTCACTTGTCTGCCAGCATGTTTGACAGTTGCCACGGTGACAAGGTTCTTCACATCTATGAAGGCTACAATTGAGTTTGCGTCCACAAACCAAGGGACACTTATGTTCTTTGTCCTGGAAAAAATATTTATGAAAAATTAATACATTATCAATGCTTTTCCCCCTCTAAAATGCCCCCCCAAAATGGCAAAACATGATTAAAATCCACTACTGGCCATGGCCATATTACTGTACCCAAGGATAGAAGAAATTAACAGTCTTAAGATTCTTTTCATACCACGTGCTGAGCATCTGTGATTAAGTGGGAATTTTTTGCAATATTTGTATGAAGACGATGTATACCTCAGTTTCCCTATATACTGTAGTGTTATCTAGTATGGGTGGTGGTGGTGGTGAGGGGAAGATCTGTATGCTCTGAGGGCAGGCTAAAGACAAAGGTGTGAGTGGCACCTTTTAACTTGCTGGTCAGCAGCCTAGCTGTCTGGGACAAAGGGTATGTCTACACTACGGGATTACTCCAAATTTACAGAATTCGATTTTTGGCAACCGATTGTATAAAGTCGAGTGCATGCGGCCACACTAAGCACATTAATTCGGTGTTGTGCGTCCGTGCTAGCATCGACTTCCGGAGCGTTGCACTGTGGGTAGCTATCCCATAGTTCCCGCAGTCTCCCCCACCCATTGGAATTCTGGGTTGAGATCCCAATGCCTGATGGGACCAAAAATTTGTCACGGGTGGTTATGGGTAAATGTCGTCAATCAATCCTCCCTCCGTGAAAGCAATGGCAAACAATCATTTCACGCCCTTTTCCCTGGATTGCCCGGGCAGATGCCATAGCACGGCAACCATGGAGCCTGTTCAGCCTTTTTCCACTGTCGCCGTATGTCTACTGGATGCTGCTGACAGACGCGGTACTGCAGCGCTACACAGCAGCATCCCCTTGCCTTTGCAAGTTAGCAAAGACGGTTACCAGCCATACTGTACCGTCTGCTGCTGTCATGGGTGCTCCTGGTTGGCCTCAGTGAGATTGGTCGGGGGCGCCTGGACAAAAATGGGAAGGACTCCCCAGGTCATTCTCTTCTTTAAGTTTTGTCTAATGGAGAGTCAGTCCTGCCTAGAATATCAGGCAAGCCTACTAAAGAACCAGAGAGGCAAATGGCCGCTCCGGGTCAGAACCCCAGACATCCCGCAGAAATGATGAGCTGCATGCCATTCTAGGGGGTACCCCTACAACAAGCCCACCCGTTGCGTCCCTCCTCCCCCACCCCTCCCGGGCTACATTGGCAGTTATCCTCCCTTTTGTGTGATGAAGTAATAAAGAATGCATGAATTTGAAACAACACATACTTTATTGCCTCTGCAACCAGAGATCAAAGGGGAGAGGGCGGTTGGCTTACAGCGAAGTCGAGTGAACCACCATTCTGCACTTGCTCAGCCTATAGCTGAAAACGGGAATCTGTGATAAGCACTAGGATAGAAGCACAGGCAGGACTGAATCTCCATTTGTGTGTGGGCCTTTGGTTGACACTGGTAAAATACAAAATGTCCCAGGATATGTATGTTGGAGGACAGTTCTAAACGGCAGCTTTATTTTTTTATTTGCAGCAAAAAGTATCTGATTATGAGCCCTGGGAGCAAGGGGTAGGTTGGGGTAGGTGTGACCGCACGGTGCTGCCGAATGGGAGAGCAGCCGGAGGCAGAAGCCTCCAGCTGGCATGATATTCCAGGCAGGACTGAATCTCCATTACACAAAACTTAAAGAAGAGAATGACCTGGAGTCATTCCCTTTTTTGTCCATGCGCCCCCGACCGACCTCACCGAGGCCAGCCAGGACCACCCACGGGACAACGATGACGGTTACCAATCATACTGCACCGTCTGCAAGGCAAGGCAAGGGGATGCTGCTGTGTAGTGCTGCAGCACCGCGTCTGCCAGCCGCATACAGTAGACATACGGTGACAGTGAAAAAAGGCGAGAAACGATTTTTTTCCCTTTGCTTTCACAGAGGGAGGGAGGGGGTGGGGCCTGACGACATATACCCTGAACCCACCCGAGACAATGTTTTTGACCCTTCAGGCATTGGGAGCTCAACCGAGAATTCAAATGGTTTTCGGAGAGTGTGGAAAATGTGGGATAGCTACAGTCGTGAGTTGCCCCTCCCTCCATGAGTGTCCATTTGATTCTTTGGCTTTCTGGTACGCTTGTCTCAGCTCCTTAAGTTTCACGCAGCACAGTGTTGAGTCCCTGTTGTGGCCTCTGTCCATCATGGCCTTGGAGATTTTTTCAAATGTTTTGGCATTTCGTCTTTTGGAACGGAGTTCTGATAGAACAGATTCATCTCCCCATAAAGAGATCAGATTCAGTATTTCCCGGTGAGTCCATGCTGGGCAAACAGGAAATGAAATTCAAAAGTTCACGGGACTTTTCCTGTTTACCTGGCCAGTGCATCCAAGTTCAGATTTCTATCCAGAGCGGTCACAATGGTGCACTGTGGGATAGCTCCCGGAGGCCAATACCATAGGATATAATAATTAGTTAATTCAATCTCCTAGAACTGGAAGGGACCTTGAAAGGTCATCGAGTCCAGCCCCCTGCCTTCACTAGAAGGACCAAGTACTGATTTTGCCCCAGATCCCTAAGTGGCCCCCTCAAGGACTGAACTCCCAACCCTGGGTTTAGCAGGCCAATGCTCAAACCATTGAGCTATCCCTCCCCCCAAAGGGGGGGGGGGGGGAATTGCGGCCACACTAACCCTAATTCGAAATGGCAATGTTGATTTCGCCACTACTCCCCTCGTCGGGGAGGAGTACAGAAATCGATTTTAAGAGCCCTTTATGTCGAAGTAATGGCTTCGTTGTGTGGACGGGTGCAGGGTTAATTCGATTTATTGCTGATAAATTCGAACTAAACTCATAGTGTAGACCAGGCCCAAGTGGGCCTTAATCCCTGTGTCAGTGGAGAAACCATGAAGCAAATCACTGGGATATTGAAACCTGGCAACCAATGACCACAGATTGTCCCTCCTCTGTGCAGGAAGCCAAGCAGCATTTCCCCAGTTCAGGAACAAAGGATGGGGGCAGTGTGAAATGGGAGTTAAGGGCTAGAGGGCGAGATCTCCCCACAAGCGCAGCCGTGCAGGGGAAGAGCAAGTCCTGTCCCTCCCTAGCCTGGCTGGGTCTAGCAGCTAGCAGCCCCCGGCTGGGGCATTCCCAGCAGCACAGGGGAGATCAGACCCACCTCCACCTCCGGGAACCTCCTGCAGCTGCAGGAAGCTCCATGGATGCTGCCTTCAGAGCCCAGCTCTGAATGCAGTGCAGAAGTGAGGGTGGCAATCCCGTGACTCCCCTAAAACAGCTTCGCAATCTCCCCAGAACCCCCTTTTGGGTCTGGACCCTCATGGTTACAACACCGTGAAATTTCAGATATAAACATTTGAAAACGTGAAATTGACCAGAATGGACCATGAATTTGGTAGGGCCCTATTCATTTCTCTATGCTAACCAAGGTCTTCCTATGTTGCATTCTAGTCAACTAATAAACCCCTACAGTTTGACAACACTGGCTGAGTGTCACTGCAGATGCTGGTGGAGGTGCATTGCTCCCTAAGATTGTACAAGTCTCCCTCAGGGATCTATCTCAGTGAGACTCACTGAATGGAGCTCTTGGTGTGATGAAGGCCCAGAGGTCCAGTCTAAGGAGGCAGGAAACCGCATGGCTTACCCTGGAGGAAGAGTGAGGCCCCAAGGGGGTCTGGCACACTGAAGGGATCCTTCCTGAGACTACTCCAAAGCTGGGGTCATAGCACCAATCCTGTAGATCTATGACAGTATTGCATTGTTCAACTGGAATTTTATCAACTTAGGACTAGTATACACAAAGTTTTGGGCTGATATAGGATCTGTATTTGTTTAGGGTGTGTATTTTTTTTTTTTAAACGAAAGTTATTTTGTACAACCCCTAGCATGGTCACAGTTAAACTGATATATAGATGGCTTATACCAGTATAGTTTACTCCGCTTCCCATATGGGAATAGCTATACTGGTATAAGGCACATTTATACTGGTATAATTGTGTCCATACTAAAGGGTTGTACTGCTTTAAGTATACTAGTATAGTTAAAGTAGTACAGCTTGTGTGTTGACAAGCTCTTAGTTCAGTGGTTCTCAACCTATTTTCATATATGCGGCCCACGATATGTTACCTGGGCTGCAGGTTGAGAACAACAGTGCACCTCCCCCAAGCCCCTTCACAGACCCCTATGCCCAGCAACCCCACTCAGAGAGCCCTCCAGAGAGCGGGGCCAAGAACGGAGCCCTGGGGGTGGGGGCCAGGCAGTCGGGCCCCCAGAGCTGGGCCGGCTGGCAGGGCAGATGGGCCCCTGGAGCCGGCCCCACAGTGGCCAGGCGGCAGTGCAGCCAGGACCCCAGCCCTAGGGCCTTTAGCACACAGCTGAGTCCCTGTAGCCTTTAGCATACAGCTGGGCCGCAGCTGTGTGCTAATTGGGCTGCATGTGACCTGCGGGCCACAGGTTGAGAACAACTGTCTTAGTTACACAATCACACTTGGGTGCACAGCATTAATCCTAAAGACTTTTTGAACGAAGGGTAAGGATGAATATTTTACATTACAAAACAGGGAATCTACACCTCAGCAGCCTTTTCACATACTATTTAAAAAAAAAAAAATAGGTACAGATGTAGCATTTTACCCTGAACCATTTCTTAGCCCTGGTCTACACTACGGGGTTAGGTCGAATTTAGCTGCGTTAGGTCAATTTAAAAAATGACCGCATCCACACAACCAACCCCGTTCCGTTGACCTAAAGAGCTCTTAAAATCGACTTCTGTACTTCTCCCTGGCAAGGGGAGTAGCACTAAAATCGACCTTGCTGGGTCAAATTTGGGGTAGTGCGGATGCAAATTGACGGTATTGGCCTCTGGGAGCTATCCCAGAGTGCTCCATTGTGACTGCTCTGGACAACACTTTGAACTCCGATGCACTAGCCAGGTACACAGGAAAAGCCCTAGGAACTTTTGAATTTAATTTCCTGTTTGGTCAGTGTGGCGAGCTCAGCTGCACTCAGCAGCACAGGTGACCATGCAGTCCCAGAATCGCAAACAAGCTCCAGCATGGACTGAAAGGGAGACACTGGATCTGATTGCTGTATGGGGAGAAGAATCTGTGCAAGCAGAACTCTGATCCAAAAGAAATGCAAATATATTTGCCAAAATCTCACAGGGCATGTTGGACAAAGGCTACACCAGGGACACAGCAGTGCTGCGTGAAAGTTAAGGAGCTCAGGCAAGCCTACCAAAAGACAAAGGAGGCAAACGATTGCTCCGGGTCAGAGCCCCACACATGCCACGTCTGTGAACAGCTGCATGGCATTCTAGGTGGGGGCCCTACCACTATCCCACCCGCGACAATGTTTTTGCCTCATCAGGCATTGGGAGCTTAACCCAGAATTCCAATGGGCAGCGGAGACTGCGGGAACTGTGGGATAGCTACAGTAAGTGAGGACGCACTCCGCCGACTTAATGCGCTCAGTGTGGACACACGCAATCAACTGTATAAAATCGATTTCTAAAAATCGACTTCTATAATATTAACCTAATTTCATAGTGTAGACACACCCTTACATTGTATAAATGAACTTACCACACAGCAAATTTCATTACACTTGTGTCGTCCACATGACCGTTTCTTGTTACATCGCTTGTCACACATAAATGTAATATCAGCTGTTCAAGTAGAAAAAATAATGTGTTTATATTTATTTAATCATTCAACCTTTGACTACATATTATACGACTGCAATAACTAAATGTGTGTAGCAAGACCACATTAAAATTAATATGATGAAATGAAGAAAATAGGGTACATTCTTACAGAGGCAGCACGAATCACTGTATAGAGGCTATTATAATGAGGATTTATAATGTGACACTGGACCAAACTGTCTTTTATAATTCGTTTGGGACATAAGCCTGGTAGTTGTATTTTGGCTTCTTGCTTAATAGCGTCAATATTAAAATGACCACAACTAGTCTTTAATTAAGGGGAATGTTCCTGGTAAGAAAATACCACCACCATTTGATTTTTAGACCATTCAAATTGGCGACAGATTGTAAACTGACAATATACTGATTAAATGTTCTGAGCAAAAAGTCCCTGTAAATGGCAAGTTACAAGAGAAGTGGAGTCACTTGTGAGGTACCTCCAATGTGGGCTGACGCTGTTGCATTTCAGTTTACATTCAAATACCTACAGCAGTACCTAAGCATGCCTGCAGAATAGTGACAAGTACTGATAAAAGCATAATTTGGAAGTTTACATTAACATACTTAGAACTACTTAAACATATTAAGAAAGTGGTTTATGAAACAGCTAATGGATTTTAAAAATCTGAAAATTTGACCATCTTTATGTTGCTACATAAAGTAGGGAATATTAGTTACCGGTGACACTGTTGTAGTCTCCTCAACTCCCATCCTACAACACTGAATTCAAAGACAGTGTTATGGTGACACCTACTGGAAGCAAGGAGGCAAAGAATTCTAAAACCCTGCCCCTGATTCCATAAGTCTCAGCCACAACTGCATCCCATCAGGAAGAGAACTTCCAGATCTATAGAGAAGGAAACAGTATGAAAGACAGAAAGAAATAAAACAGGCAGCAAAACAACACCCAAAGGGGAGGTGGATGAGATATAGTATAGAAGAGGAGAAGACAGACAGAATTACTGGTAATTTTCCCCTTTGTTGTATGTCTTTCTCTTCTATCCTACAACACTGGATTAAGGCACAAAAAGAGGATGCAGCAAGCAGTAACCCAAGGAGGTGGGACTACCTTAACATGCCACTATCAGGTCCTTGCAGCCAAAGGAGGTATCCTGAGAAGTGGAGATACCTAACTGATGACAATTTATAAAGGAGTGAGGAGATGATCATGCTGCTGTCTTACACACCTTGTTCATGAAAGCTTCAGCATGTTCACTGCTCATGAAGATTTCTCTAACTACATGGAATCTGACAAGTTTATCTGACAGTCTGGTCATATGCTTTAAGGATACAGCATAAAACCCACCTAGCAAAAGCTATGGTAGATACAGCATTACCTTCGTAACCCTGCTTTGACTTTCTAAACTCATAATAAGATAAAAGTTGACAACATGCTTAACATCCAATAAATGCAGCTTCTAGTCGTGGGTGGGGAATACCAGACTAGGACTGAGAGGAGAAGAACAATAGATAGAACTTGGTATTCATCATATGAACAAATTCTGAATGAAGCCAAAAAATATCCTTCTGGAAAACAAGGGAAATAAGGAGGAGAGAAGATGAGAGTTCAACTCATTCACCCACCTGAAATCACTCTGGAAAGAAAAAACATCTTAAAAGAAAGAAGTTTGTCCTAAGGCCTCTCATGAGAGTTGGTTGCATCAAAATCTACATGGATGAGGATCAAGTTCCATTGAGGGATCACAGGATGAATCACTGGTCTTTGAGACCATTTCTTGAATACCAACAGAGGGAAATCCAAAATATCTTGGTACCACATCAGGCCACAAAGAATTTCTAGCTCTGAGAGCAAGACAGCATACATTCTGCTGCTCTCCAGACAGTGGAGAAGCCTCTTTGAGAAATGGCTCCCTTCAAGCTGAATGAAGCCAGACTGAAATGAAGGCAATTGTAAAACAGGACCTGGAGAAAATAGGTCCAAGATACTGGGAAGCACTAATCACTAATAGGCTCATCAAATCAAAACCAGCAATAGAAGAGTGGTTGTGAAACAGAAGCACAAATCCAGTTCATCAGCCTGAGCATCAGGGAAAGCAGCACTACAGTTCCCTACTCTACCTCTCGGTTGAGGGACACAAAGACATGCAGGACACAGGCATAGTCTGTGCAGGTCAAAAGATTTCAGTCTTGTGCGCATGCGAAGAACAGTGGTACTGCTGTTCTTTTTTCTTCTAATGGTCCCTTGGCACTAAGTAAGAACACTGCAAAACTCTGTGGCCTACAGGACAATCCAGACCCCCTGAAAACCAAGAATTTTTCAGCACTGCACTTTGGGGTCTCCTAAGGTTGAAAGTGTGCAGAAGGGCCTGGAATCAGTTCTTATTCTGAACCTGCCCTCAAAACTCTCATGGCTTCCTCTATCATGTAAATCCTAGTTGGTACATGCAATGCTTCTGACCAGCGAATATCCAGAAAAAGCAGCACTAAATTGGCAAATGCCATGCATATCAAGCATTGACTACAAGTGTCTGAAATGTGAAATGTTGAGCCACAAATGAACAGCCTTCACTATTCCTAATGGTTAAACACCAGTGACTAAAGCCTCCCCCAACAACACAGGAAATTTCCTCTAATAAAACAAAGAGAAGATTAAAAGATTAAAAAGTTAAAAACTGCTATATTTCTCTAAAATCGACTATTCAGTAGAAATAAAAAGGTAGACCCACTACCAATGAGCAATTGGCTAGATGTATTCTGTGGGTTTTTTGTTTATTTTTGACTTCCTCTGAAGCATTCTAGAAATCTGACTAGTGTGTTTTGCTCATAATGCTCAGTATTACACTTACCATGAGATTTGGGGCTGGGAAGGAATTTTTCTCCAGGTCAGATTGGCAGGGACCTTTGGGGTTTTTTTTTTTTTGTCCTTCCTCTGTAGCTTGGGGTTCACCTGCTGGGATCATCTGGGCAGATCTCACCTAATCAATTCCCTGCCATTGCAGGGCCTCTGCCGTTGGTGGCAGCTTGGTCTCCTGTTCTATGCCTGTGGCACACAGTATAGTCTGCTGAGGCACTGAAACGTTTTGGACTATATAAAGTCTTTGGGTTTAATATGGATTAGAATTACAATCCAATTAGAAAATGTTGCTTATGAAAACTTGAAACATTAAGAATTTCAGGAGGAGAAAAAGACACATTTTATGCTGCACACTTTCTGTTAACTTTTTAAAACAACTATTCTGATATAAAACACTAAACTTAGGGTTAAGATTGCACAAGTGTATTTGACACAACAGTGAAAATATTAGAAAAAGGGAAAAAAACATTAGAAAATAAGGTTAACCAATTGGTGGAGACTTTTTTTGTCTGAAAAGTTCTAAAGGGCTTCCCCTCCATGAGGTTACAAGTATAGATTTAATAAAAGATCTAGTCAGAAGGAGACTGATTTCATTGGAAATTTCCAACACTGAAAGCACATAGAATGGTATACTGATGTATTTACTATTATTTGAATCCTGCTACAGTTTTGAAGAACCATATAAATATATGCACACCCACGCTTTGATTCCAAAGAATTTAAAGATTTAGACCATATTTAAGTGAAGAAGAGTGTTAAACATCTAAAATAAACCTTTAAAAGAAGCAATCAAAGCAAATAATATAGTACACAAAAGTAGCAAAAATACATAAAATCCAAGACCACCAACTTTGCACATGACATCAGAGTATTGTGTACTGGATGAAATTGATACTATACTTCATACAACCTCCACTGGCATCTGATCTCTTCATCCACATATATTTCATTCAATATATGAAGTAACAAACACAAAAAATACATCAGTTTGAGTAGAAAGTTTTTAAAGCTTCTATTTCATAAAGGTGCTAGTACACTGTTAGTATATTACAACTATTTACCTTTATTTTTGAGGAGGGCACATGGGACTTCCTAAGAAACAGATAGGAAAAGATTAAATCACAGCAAATTATATGTAGCAAGAGCTTAATGTTCTAGAAAGCTAACAACTACATACAATATATCAAATGAAAAAAAAGTCAAGCAATTGGTTTTTAGCTATTACAAATATTCGCATACATAGTAAGTGGGGAAAAAAAAGACCTGATCTTAAAGGGAGGGGGAAAAATGGAGGTTACTGACCTGTAACAGAATGTTCTGGTCTCTATCTGTATTCCACACAAGGGTAGGCGTGCACACCATGTGCTTGTGATCAGAGATTTCTAGCAAGTAGTGTCCATTGGTCCTGCAAGTTTTTCTCCTTATCCGCCGAACTGATGGTATAAGGGGCAGTGCAGACCAACGCCTCTCCAGTTCCTCTCTTACTGCTATAGCTGAAGAATCTGAAGCAGAGGGGAAGGAGGCTGCATAGTGGAATACAGATAAGGACCAGATATTTTGAAGAACCTCCAGTTACAGGTCAGTAACTTCCATCTCTTCTTGGAACACGAATCCCTATGTGTATTCTACCTGTGGGTGATTGATAAGCAACGTTTAACAGGAGGGGGTATGAGGATGCAGTTGGTATAGATGCTTGAAATACCACAGTCCGAACAGCTGCATCTGTAGAGCTTAATGTTCTAGAAAGCTACATCTGTAGCTGCATCTGTAGAGGAGGCTTGAACTAAAGCCTAATATTTTGTGAATGTATGGACAGAGCTCCAGGTAGCTGCTCCACGGATGTCTAGTATAGGTACCTCTCGAAGAGATGTTGTTGAGCTTGCTTGTGCTCTAGTGGTATGGGCTCTTACCCCATTCAGAGGAGAAGGGTGTGTCAACAGGACATACAGAATGATGCAGCCCGAGATCCAGTTAGAGATTCTTTGAGCAGATACCTGTCCTCGCAACCGTTCCACTATAATGCCAAACAGTTTTAGTGATTTATTAATTGATTTTGTCCTTTGCAGGTAGAACACTACAGTGTGTCTGATGTCCAAAGAGTGAAGTCTCTTTGGAAGTATGAGATTTTGGGAAGAATGCCATTAAGCAGATAGGTCAATTGATGCAAAGCTCAGAAATTTCTTTACAGATGGATTTCAGATGAAGGTGAAGGCAAAGGGAAATCTTCTTCTGACGAAAATAGCATAACCACAAGTGCTCCCAATTGGCTCTGGTTTCTGGCTGATGTGATAGCAACTAAAAAGGTGACCTTCATGGGAATGTGGGACATAGAACATGTTGCCAGTGATTCAAATGGTGATTTGATAAGTATTGATTGTACAAGGTTGAGGTCCCATTGTGGTTCAGTTTTCACCACTAATGAGAAGGTCCTACCCTAAACCTTTCAGGAATCTAATTGTTGTTGGGTCAGTAAGAATGGAATATCCTTCTACTGGAGGGCAGAAGGCATGATTGCTGCTTGTTGGACCCACAGGGAACTAATGGAAAGCCCTGAGATGGTCTGTCCAGAATAACAGAATAGTACATCTCCCCTGGAACCATGGCCCAAGGCTGTCCTGGAGCAGTAAAGGGTGAACTTTTTGTTTGTTTGGGATGCAAACAAATCCCAGGATGGTGTTCCCCACTATGCAAAGATCTTGTTCAGGATGGAATTGGGTATCTCCCCCTCATGGTCTGTGGGCAAAGTGCTTGCTGAAACTGTATGCTAGAGAATTCTGCATGCCTGGTAGGTACATAGCAGAGAGAATTATGTAATTTCTAGCGCACACAGAGAGGAAGGGATTTTTGCTCCACCTGGTTGTTTATGTAAAAGACAGTCATTATGATGTCTGACAGTATTTGGACATGGTGGGACTGAATAAGTGGGAAGAATGCATTGCAGGCGAGATGGACTGCTCTCTGCTCTAGTAGACTGATAGGGATACTGGCTCCTGAGTAGACCAAGTGCTTTATGCAGTGTGGTTGTCCAGGTGGACTCCCCATCCAATCAGGGTTGCAGCTTTGACAATGGTTGCATCAGGTGTGGATGTAATTAAAGAAACTCTCACACATACTTGTTCTGGGTTTATCCACCAAGCACGAAAAGCTGTGACCTTGGTGGAAATTGTTACTCTGGTGTTTATATGGTCTCTGCCTGATGAGTAAATAGAATGTAGCCAGGCTTGTAGGCAATGTAGGTGAAGCCTGACAAATGGTGTTACATACGTACATGATGCCATGTGCTTAATTGGGAAAGGCAGACCTTGAGAGTGGTTTATGTTCTGAAAGTGACTTGTCTTATCAAGTATCAGAGGGGTAGCCGTGTTAGTCTGAATCTGTAAAAAGCAACAGAGGGTCTTGTGGCACCTTTAAGACTAACAGAAGTATTGGGAGCATAAGCTTTCGTGGGTAAGAACCTCACTTCTTGCATCTGAAGAAGTGAGGTTCTTACCCACGAAAGC